GGGACACTTTGTGCCCGCGATCCTCGGCAGTGTTCGGCCACGACTTGTTGGGCTTGAATAGCACCTTCCACATGTCTTTGTGCGTCATTCCGAAGAACTCCAACAAGGTTTGGTGCTTGGCCGAATCAAACTCCCATAGGTGGCAAGTCCGGCGTTGGCAAGGAAGGATCCGACGAGCTAGCATCACCTGTACCACATCGACAAGTTTGATACCCTTGTCCTCCATGCTCTTGATATGCGCTTGGAGTGCCGACAGCCCATCGGACGAAGGCCAGTCTAGGCCCTTTTCGGGCCAGGACATGAGCCGCACTGGGGCTCCGGATTGAAACTCAGGAGCGGCGGCCCATTTGGCGCCGCGTGCCTCGGTAATATAGAACCATTGTTGTTGCCAACCTTTGACGGATTCGTTGAATTTACCTGATGGCCATTTGACGTTGGGCATCTTACTCACCATGGCTCCTCCGCACTCGGCGTGTTCGCTGTCGACCACCTTGGGCTTCACGTTGAAATTTTCTAGCCATAGCCCGAAGTGTGGCGGGATGCGGAGGAAGGCTTCACACACGACAATGAATGTCGAGATGTTGAGGAAGGAGTTGGGGGATAGGTCATGGAAATCTATCCCGTAGTAGTACATAAGGCCGCGAACGAATGGGTGGAGGGGAAACCCCAGCCCGCGGACGAAGTGAGGGAGGATTACGACCCTCTCATGGGGTTCCGGAGTAGGGACGATCTATCATGCCGTCGGGAGACGGTGTGCGATCTTCTTGGCTAGGTATCCGGCCTCTCGTAGTTTCTGGATATCCTTCTCCTAAACGGAGGAGGCCACCACTTGCCTTGCGCTCCGGATCCAAACATGATTGGAGTGCTTTTTGGGCGAAGGTGGTGGTTGCTTGGGCGCTGGAGCTCAAGAACAGATGAGCAAAGGAAGAAGAGGGCGTGGGTGAAAGAGGGGAAACCTTATCCCTTTATAAAGGTAGTAAAAATCATGCGCCTCCCCACTCGCCCTAAAACTCGCTTATTTCCCAAGCGCCGTGCTAATGGCACGGTTGGGTTATCCATACCCGTATTGATGAGAATCCCGTGATAAGGGGACACAATCTCTGCTTCGACAAGACGTGCCAATGAAACCGCACCTTGAAATATGGAGGGGCAGGATAAAAACGGTTCTAATAAAGACCGGGCCGTGGCGTGATGTCACGCTATGATATGTCAATAGATTAGACTCATGGGATGTTATACTCTCTACAGTGGTATGTGGGATTTGTTTTGCAGAGCCGAACATGATTCTTTTTAATTTTGAGCCGAACATGATTCTTATGTTCAAGATCTACTTTGAAGTATTCGGAGAAGGAACCCGCCTTGCAATGACGAAGACAATTTGCGCGCCAGACTCGTTGTCATTGAAGCCTGGTTCAGGGGCTACTGAGGGAGTCCTGGATTAAGGGGTCCTCGGACAGCCGGACTATATGCGAATGCCGGACTGTGGGACTATGAAGATACAAGATAGAAGACTTCGTCCCATGTCCGGATGGGACTCTCCTTTGCGTGGAAGGCAAGCTTGGCGATTCGGATATGAAGATTCCTTTCTCTGTAACCGACTCTGTGTAACCCTAGCCCCCTCCTGTGTCTATATAAACCAGAGGGTTTAGTCTGTAGGACAACAACAATCACAACCATAGGCTAGCTTCTAGGGTTTAGCCTCTAAGATCTCGTGGTAGATCTACTCTTGTAATACTCATATCATCAAGATCAATCAAGCAGGAAGTAGGGTATTACCTCCATCGAGAGGGCCCAAACCTGGGTAAACATCGTGTCCCCTGCCTCCCGTTACCATTAGCCTTAGACGCACAGTTCGGGACCCCCCTACCCGAGATCCGCCAGTTTTGACACTGACACACGCGTCTGGTCGAGCACCCACCAGAGTGGACGGCTTGCGTCGCCCAATCCCTAGTAGTAAGAGGAGAATGCCCTCCCCTCCATCTCGCCAAGCTACGTGGGCTTAGCCAGAGGAGCCACGCCAGCATCGGCGAGGGGAGAAGGGAGCGGTGGGGGAGGGGGTGGAGCTGGCGGCTGCTAGGGTTTCCTCCGGGGCCGCCCGTGGGAATGACATGGGAGGAGAGTTTTCGGGGATGCAATAGAGTAAAATGTGCATTTGTCCCATGTACTTGGGGGCCATATTCAAAAAGGTCCTTAAACTCAGATCTTCAATACGATCCTTGAACTTGGTGCACCAGTCCTAGGTTACGATCGGACATACGTATTTCGATCGCCTACTAGAGGCCTTCTTCATAGAGATGAGTGTATGCGCGTGTATATGAGCGATTGCGTCTGTACTGTGTTAAAAAACTGGGTGGGATAATAATAAAAATAAAAACATAAATAAATAATTGGGCACATAGGGCCTCGAACATGTGACCTTGTGCTGCGTCCGTGAAATATATTAATTTAATTAATAATTACAATATGTTCCCTAAGTTTTAAGACCCCCACAATCAATTGAGGTCATCAATCTGAAGTTTGGTCATCTAATTTGGATTGAATCAACAATTTCTTAAGGAGCTCTCTCATTTAATTCTTTTATTTTACTATGCTTTCTAATTTTGGAGCTCTCCCATTTGAGAGAGATATTTAGTGTTGGATTTGGTTCACATTTTACCCGGGTCAATAATTTTTCAAATTAATCGGCAGCAACCGGTCCATAAAAATATATAAATCCCATGCACCCTCTCACCACCTAGAAATAAGACGCGCCAACATGTAATAATGTAGCACCAATATATTACATGCACCCGCCGACGCAGAAAATTTACCCACATAGATATAGGTTGATTAGCAGATAACACTGAACAGAACGACACCACGAAGGCCCATCAAAACATCGCATGATCAATAAAAATAAAACACACTCCATCATCTCCCCCACTCACCAACCGAAATATTCTCTTAGTTCTGAAATATAAGGTGTATTAGTTTTTTGGAAACTCAAATATCTTTAACTTTGACCAAGTTCATAGACAAAAATATCAACATCCACACTATTAAATAAACAAACTATTAAAATTCACTTCATGATTAATTTAATGATACTGATTTGATATTATGAATATTGATATATCTTTCTATGCATTTGGTTAAACTTAAAGATCTTAGACTATTTCCAAAAAATACGCCTTATATTTGAAACAGAGGGTGCAAACCTTTTTTTAATAAAGAACCCTCAACGCCAACAATACAGCAAAGCGCACACAACCTTTCTAGTATAAGCCATTTTGTAATGACACCAATCTATACTCAATACCCTTCCAAATTTGTGGCACATTAACAGTGAAGACAATATCGAAAATACGGCCACTAATAGCATCTACAGCCGTGGTTGACAAATCCGGCACCCCATTACGTCCGCGGGTGCATCCAGATGCGTCCGCGAACAGTGACCGGGCAATACTGAAATTGTCGTGTCGACATCCGTGCATCTAAATCCGGTACCCTATATCCATCCTAAAGCATGCAAAGTGAATAAAAACTATGTAGATCATCAAACATACTTCAAAATGCACATACAATCCACATTCATATCACCAAAAGATCACCAACAGATCTTCGAAAGACTTCCACACTTCACATAATCCACATAAACGACAGACATGTGTGAACTATATAGTAAATATGTCAAATCAAGGACGGAGACGATAGAGCTTCACCACTTCCTCGGCCTTTTGCCCTTCCGGTCGTCGGCTCTGCTATAGGCGTCCTGGTAGGTGTCCGCGGTCGGAGGTGGGTCGTCGGAGCTGTCAGATGAAGAGGAGAGGAAAATCTAGCCCTTCATCCTCCGGATGATGCGGTCCTGCTTCCGCTTGAGCATGGTCCCCCACGCCATTGCCTTCGCCACCTCGCGCGCAGACTGCTCCATGCCCAGCCGGAACGCCTTCGCGTTCTTCCTCCGAAGCCGGTGTGTGTTCGTCTCCGCCGGCGGTAGACCCACGCGAGGAGCCGCTCCTCCTCGTCAGGCACCACCGGCATGCCGTGATGGCTGCAGGAGGACTACACGATTGCCCTCTCCCTTGTCCGCTACCTCCCGCGGCGGACTGCGCGCGCCTTCGATTCCGGCCTGCGCGCCCGCGGCGCCGGCAGGTGGACACTAAACCCATCACTGCCCTTCTAGAGTGCGAGAAGAGGGGGCGGAGGTTGCTGGACGGGTGGGAAGGGGCACACTCTGGCGTCGCCGCTGCAGCGGTGGACGAGAGTCGAGGCAGCAGATACGGAATTGCCGCCCTTGTCCACCCCGCGACGGCTGCAAGGCGATGCGGAGGGCAAGCTCGTCCTCGTCGCCGATGCCTCGCGGGGGAACGCGTCCTAGTCATCGTCAGACCTATTAGAGGGGTTGTCGGTGCTGGACATGGTTGACGGAGATCGGGATTGGGAGAAAGGGAGGATAAGGTATGAAGCGGTGAGGAGCGAAGTGAGCGTAGGGTTTGCTCCGGATAGGGATTTTGTGGGGACGACATGGGTCATGGTGGGCCAGGCTGATGTGGTGAACATGAGGGTGCTTGACAACCCATACGTTTGAGACCGGTATGAGCGCTTCAGGTGGTTCGATTTTTTTGACCTGTCAGGACCGTCCGCCCCTCCGGGCGTTTGACATCGGTTTGAGGCCCGGATGTAGATGCTCTAAGAAAGTACTTCAACTTGATCAAGCGAGGGGCTTGAATGAAAATATTTTGGACAAAATTCAGAAGAAAGTAGAATTACAATTTGAAATTTCTGAAATTTCCAAGCGACAAAAAGAAGGGAGTCCTATTTGTTGTCGACCGCCGAAAAAACGAACGAAAAGCGGCTGACCAGCCCAGCCGCAACTTTCATTTTGCCCCTAAAATTATTGGACTTTCGTTTTTCTCACCAGACGACGCACACCTAACAACTCATCAGCATTCCCCACCCCCATCGCCGGGAAGATAACCGCTGCCGCCGGCACTCACCGCGATCTCGCCGTCGCGGCCGCCATGATCCGCCTCCGCAGCTGCATCCTCACCCAGCTCCTCTGTTCGCCCCCCGCCTCTCCCATCTCCTCTCTCCGCCGTCTCCTCTCAACCACAGAGCCGGTGCCCCCCGTTCCGGCAAACCCGGGCTTCGCCGTCGAGGACTACCTCGTCGCCAGCTGCGGCCTCACCCGACCCCAGGCCCTCAAGGCTTCCCTTAAAATCTCCGGCCTCAAGTCACCCTCCAAGCCCGACTCCGTCCTCGCCCTCCTCGCCGGTCTCGGCCTCTCGAGCGCCGACGTCGCCGCCCTCGTCGCTACTGACCCGCGGTTACTCTGCGCCAAAGTGGACACACTAACCTCCAATGTCGCGGGGCTCGCCGGCATGGGCATGTCGCGTTCTCAGATCGCTCAGCTCGTCATGCTCGGCTGCATTATCTTCCGCTGCAAACCCGTCGTCTCCAGGCTGCACTACTACCTGCCCCTCTTCGGATCGCCGGAGAACCTCCTTCGCGTTCTCAAGCAGAACTCCTACCTCCTGTCAACCAACATCGACAAGGTGGTAGAGCCCAACGTCGCGTTCCTGCGGGAGTGCGGGCTAGGTGCTTGTGATATTGCCAAGCTGTGCACCTCTCTTCCGAGGCTGCTTAGCACCAAACCAGAGAAGGTCCGGGCGATGGCGGCATGTACCGAAAGTCTGGGTGTGTGCCGCGGCTCCGGGATGTTCAGAAAAGCGATGCAGGCTGTCGCGTTCCGCAGCAAGGAGAAGATCGCCGCCGAAGTGGCGTACTTGAAGAACACGTTCAGGTGGTCCGATGCTGAGGTGGGCATTGCTGTCTGTAGGTCTCCAATGGTGCTGTCGAGGTCTGAGGACACGCTCCTGCGTGTGTCCGAGTTCCTTATCTCTGAGGTGGGGCTGGAACCGGCGTACATTGCTCCTCGGTCAGTAATGCTCTGTCTTAGCCTGGAGGGTCGACTGAGGCCCCGGTACTATGTTATGAAGTTCCTTAAGGAAAATGGATTGCTAAATCTCGGATGGAGTTACTTTTCAATTGTCAAGGCGACCGAGAAGGTGTTCGTGGAGAAGTTCATATGCCCTCACAAGGAAGCTGCACCATACCTCGCTGAAGACTATGATGCTGCTTGCAGAGGGGAAGTGCCGACTAATTTCAGATTCGCATGAGCCTAGAACGGGCTATGAAAATTGGTAACTGTGTGCTGGTTGTGCACTGATGTATGTCTTCTAGATGCTGGTTTGGTCATTGCTAGCTTGTGATGAAACTGGTAGTTTGATTCCTGAATCCTGATATGTTTATGCCATCATTCAGTAGAAAGGAAACCATGGTTTGTTATGAACCTTTTCATTCCTGAATACTTTCCCTGAATCCTGATATGTTAATCCTGATGTGAACTTTTTCCCTTGTTTTGGAACACATGGATTGGAGTGGAGCTACGAAATTGTGAGATCAGGCCTATTATGTCAGTAACATGCTGGTTTGGTTGTTGGTATCACCTGAGGAAGCTATTAATTAGATTCATGAGGCACTGCTATGTCTGAGTCCTCATTCAGTATAGAAGAAAGCATGTCATGGCCATGAATTTGTTCATCCTCATGTCATATTGATAGACATATTAGACATTGTGCAGATGCATTGGAATATAGGAGTATGTGACTGTGAGTAGTATATTTGCACTCTTGGTACATTTTATGGAATACTGATATGGAAGCAGCGGAGTGTTCTCAAATTGCCCCTGCAGCACAATCCTCTAATCTATCTATCCGTGAAAGAGCGAAAATTCTGAACTATTTTTCGTGGGGAACAATGTTGGGCTTGTTGCTGACCACAACATGTTGACCACTGCTGAGAATGTCATTTTGATCTATTAATAACGAGTATTTAACAAAAAACTACCACAATTCGCGAAACCGTGTCTAAAAACTACCACTTTACAAATTTGTGCTGAAAACTACCACTTTTTCACTTTACAAAAAACACTAGTGAGTGACTTAGCCGAAATTATACTCGATTATGACCAGGCTGTCCCACACATAAGCGTTGACCGCTACATTTACCGTTATGACATGTAGGGCCCAGTGGTCAGTGTCCCATCTAATTGTGAATATACAAATTACTAGTTAGGCTAATCAAACCGTGCAGGCCCAGTGGTCAGTGTTCCATCTAATCCTAACAACCCACTAACCCATCCCTACCCTACCCAAATCACAAGCGTGGACTCCCCTTTCCTCCTCGCGTCACTGTAGCCAGGACATTGGCGGCCGCGCCGCTGGAGTACTGCCGGCCCAGATGCGCCTCGGGGAGACCCTAGGCCGCCGCCCGGTGGCGCTGCGGCGAACCCAAGGGCGCCGCGGGGAGGCCCCAGCCGCCGCCCGGTCGCTCGCCGTGCCTGCAGGTCGCGCCGCGGGGAGGCCCCAGGCTGCCGCCTGGTCGCTCGCCTCGCCTCCAGGTCGCCACCATCTCTTCCAGATGCAGTCGCGCCACCGGATACTTCATCTTCTCCGCCCCCGGTGAAGGCCATCGCCGCCTCGATCTGCTGCTGTCGATGCCCACGTTCTACAGCCCCAGAGCGACCTGCTCTTGGCGTCCATGGCGGAGCTGATGTCGCCGGAGTGGCTGGCGATGGCTGGTCTCTGCCGTCCCTCTTGCCATCATTCGACGCCGGCGACAGGGACTACCCCTAGTTTTCCTCCATGGGGAATTTTGGAGGAAGGAGATAGAAATGACATGTGGGCCACATATGTTGACGGTCAAACTTAACGATGCTGACTTTTTCTGTTTTGATGTGTGGGCCAACCCTGTCATAATCGAGTTTAAACGAGTCGAATTGGGCACTTTTCATACATGGTAGTTTTTAGTCAAATATTAGCGAAAAGGTGGTAGTTTTCAGCTCAAATTTGTAAAGTGGTAGTTTGTAGGCATGGTTCCATGAATTGTGGTAGTTTTTTGTTAAATACTCATTAATAACCAACCGATACCGTACTGTACTTTGCTATTTAAAAAAAGATGTACACGTTTTATTATCCTTTTACAGTATGAATGTTATGAATCCTCCTACTTAATCCATGGGTCCTACTACCAATTTACATTGTGCCATTATGTGCAGGAACACGTCCCCAAGCTTGGTCGCAGCACTACCTTAGCTTATAAAATGAAATTATGTTGGTGCTAATTTACCTATGTGAAGCACAACGTTGTGCTTTGTTGGAGTACGAGTTTGCGTTTCATACTCGGATTCCCCTGCAATTCGAAATGGTCTGCGTTGTAAGAAATCTAGCTCTAACCATACATCGTTATCTACACAGATTTCTCACATGGTATTCACATGAAATGGGAATTGATTTTTAGTTGAGAAATATCGTTCCACTGTATAGATCAATGAAAGTATAGGGGATAAGCAATTAGAAAACTAGGGCAAAAATCAATATTATAGTGACATACGAGACTAGAGAAGAGATGTGGAGATTGTGATTCATTACCACGAATTTGGAATTTTGGATTAGTTCTTGGCCTGTCGCTCAATAGCTGGCATCTGGCGACCAATCCACGACGGAACCACGAGCAAGACAGACGAGATTCTTGAGTTATTTTGGGAAGTCATTGAGCGATCACGAAAGACGAGAGGCGGCTGCCGAGTATTCGTACAGGGAATTGGCTAACGAACAGACGACCTAGGCACTCCACTTGGGCTTTTGGGCTTTCAATTGGCGTACGTGGGTGGGTGGGATCCTGTTTTTCTTTCCTTCCTTTTTCTGTACGTGCGATCCTGGTTTGATGGGTTCAGCGACGACTTTCTGTTGGGTTCATACCAAAGAAATACTCCTACGCACGTAGGGCCACGGGGAAATCATTGGGTTCAGCTGAACCCAACGGCTCAACGCTGGCTCCGCCTCTGATCTTCGGGCATTTCCAACACCGACCTTTAAACCGGACACTGCATTCGTCCGTGGACCGATGGAACCAGTGCACGGACACTGATGTAGGAGCCGGTCATCCAACTGTAGCCGCAAATGTTCGGTTACATTTTGGAAATTTTTTTAACGAAACTGAACAAATTTGATGCATATTTAAACAAACCGGACCATATTCATTCATACTTGAATAATTTTTACACAAAACAGGATGCTTTTCATCTGAACCGGAGCAAACTCATCACATTTCGACATATTTCAACTAAACTGTACTCTAAACCTCATCTGAATGACCGTTGGCGCTTGTTCCCCATGTTCGGCCGGCCATGGCCCAAAAATGAAGCTCCGCCTCCGCAGCCTGCAAGCGGCTAATCGGCCGAAGATAATGAGCGCGCCAAGCTTAACTTCAATGGGAAGGGAAGAGTGGTGGCTTTCCTGGGACCCAAGCGTCGACGTTCTCTCATGTTCTACGCTTCCTCGCTTCTGGCCATGCTCTTTTTTCCTCTAATACCACAACTGTTTTTCTCAATTTAGACATGCAAAACAGAATTTGCTATCATAGTAGGCATTCATCTTTTGGCGTCATACATGCACGTTGCCATTATACAAATACTTTTTTTATATTTTTTTTTGCATTGCACATAGTTGCCATGCTAACACTATCAGATTGAGAGATAGGATCATTTTGGCATGACCTACATAGGGTTCTAATTTCATTTTTGATGCACCATTCCAATTTTGCCATTTGCCATCGCAATTTTGTTCATTTTTGTGTGTGTTTTTACATACACGGCAAAACACCATGGCAAATTATAGCTAAAACACCATGGCAATTTTTAATTTGCATATAACATTGTTTTTACGCAAAGCATGAAAATTATAGCTAAAACACCATGGAAATTTTTGTTCATGTTCTGTGTTTTTATATACATGGAAAATTCTCATACAAATAATGAAAATTTCAATTAAATATCATGGCAAACTTTAATATGGATCTGCTCTAGCAATTTTGTCTATGATTTTTATTCGTACTATTCATTCTATATTTTCGTGGCAATTTCCACACACATGGCAGTTTTTATTAAAACACCATGGCAAATTTCATTATACATCTTCCATGTATTTTTTTTCATAATTTGTGTATTTTACATACACGGCAAACTCTCATACAACACAAGGGAATTTAAATTTAAAAAGCATGGCAAATTTTAATATGAATCTACCATGGAGTTTTTTTTGTTCATAATTCTTATTCCTAGTGCTCATTCTATACTTTTCCATGGCAGTTTCCTCATACAAAACATGACAAAATTTTAACATGGGTCTGCCATGGCAACTTTCTTCATAATTTGTGTTTGTACTGTTCATTCTATTTTTCATGTCAAGTTCCATACAAAGCATGAAATTTCTTTATAAAAAGAAACACCATGTCAAATTTCAATATACATCTACCATGTCAGTTGTTTTTTCAATTTTGTCATTTTACATACACGGCAAATCCCTTATACAACACATGGAAATTTAGATTAAAACAGGATGTTAAATTTGAATATGAATCTGCCATGGTAGTTTTCTATTCATAATTTTTGATTCTACTATTCATTCTATTTTTTAATGGTAATTTTTGCCATGGCAATTCCAGAAAATTGCCATGTGAGCATTATCAGAGATGTTGCTAGAATATTTTTGCCACACTTTGTTTAGAAATAAAAATGTTGTAAAACTTGACATTGTCAAAAATAACATTATGGCAAATCGTAAAATAGTCCCATAAACTCAAATGGCATTTTGTATTTGAATTTTTCATTTGCATTATCAAAATACTTCCGTCAGCTTAACTTAGGTGGTAACTTTTACATTTTGTTTTGCAAATACAACTTCTGAGCCATGGCAAATTGCATTTGTTGGATAACACTAATTTACATCTTTGAAATTGACAAGAAGCGCTAATGTTACATCCATGGATTTTTTTTGAGCCATAGTAAATTTCAGAAACATGTCAAATGATTTCTATACATGACAATTTTAAATAAAATTCATGGCAAATATATTATCATCTAGACAAGTTAATGGTTTTTCATATATATGAACTATTTTTTGAATCTTTAACTATGGGGTTGTTTTACTGTAAAAGGGATGGCAAGTTTTGTATGTTCTTAGGTAAAGTAAGTCATGTGCATACTATTATCTCTTTTTTATGGCCTGTTTTTCAGTATGTTCAAGATGGGCCTTTTTTCAGTATGTTCAGGGTCGGT